AAACAAAAAGCCGCATATCAACCCCAAAAAAAAAAAAAAAAAAAAAAAAAGAAAGAAAAAAAAAGAAACAGAATGCCAAATAGAGAAGAACCAAATCATTAGGGAAAATATCTGATCCCAAGTTTCTAAAATAGTATTAAAAATGAAAGAAAAATACAAGTTATGAAGATGTATGATGCACTTCAATCCCAAGTCCCTGAAGAGCCCTGTCAGTATTCAGTACACAAGATCTGGTCAATTCTTGGTCCTACAGAAGGTATTTCAGAGTCATGTGCATAGAAAACACCCACACACACATATCACAAGAAAACTGGCTGAGATGTCTCTGCAAATGGAAGTTTTTATCGTATTTATTCCAGAGAAATAAACACTGTGCTGAGTAGAACGCATCATCATTTTCTACCTTTCTTTTATGATGGGTCGTAGAAGCATCCATTTCTTCCTCTCCTATATTATCAATTTGTGAAGTTGGACTGCAATTCATTCTCTCCTCTTCTTGCCTCTGCAGTCTGTCTGCTACAGCCTGGATAGCCTCTGTCCACTCTTCCCTATTAAAGTGAGTGAAATCTCCCATTAACAGAAGATGATGAATGGTTTTTAAAATTTTTACAAAATGTGAAATCAACACAAATACAGGATATTCCTCAATAGTTCCTCCTCTCTACCACTGCCAAAAATAAAACACAAAGTACATCATTATTACTTAAAACAATAATACTCATTTGTGTTTATTGGCTTGCATATCATTTTAATTATTTTTAATTCCTTTCTGCATTTCTCCTTCCATCTAGGACAATTTTTATTTTGTTTTAAAGAACACTCAGGTAGTTAGTGCAGGTGTACTAACAACAAATTTTACCAATCTCTGACAGGAAAAAACTGTAATGCAGTACTGGAGATTGAACCCAGATTCTTTGCATGGAGCTACTTCTTCAGCTATTTAAAAGAAAATCTTTTATGCTTTGAGTAAGTTGGTTAATTGCCCAAGCTGGGCTCAAACTTCCCAACTTCCTGCTTCAGATTCCCAGAATGTTGGGGTGTAGGCATGAGTTACCATGCTCAGCTTGAAAATATTTTTACTTTTGCTTAGAAAAGTTTCTTTTAGTGTTTACTTTCAATGCTTTAAAAATATCATTGCATTATCCCCAATTATTACTGTATTCCACGGCAATTTTTTTCTACTGTTGTGTCACCTTTTCAGTCTAACTAGCGCTTCTTTGAAAACGTGTATTCTTTCCCATTGGCTTTGGTTTTTAGCTGTCTAATGGGAATAAGAGTTTTCTCTACATTTTACCTTTTGGGATTTACAGGACTTCTGAATCTGTAGTTTGATCTTTAGTCCACTTAGAACGTTTTCAAACACTATCACTTCAAACGTTTTCTTCTTTTTCTCTCATGCCTCAGAAACCAACTGCATATCTGCATACCTTACTACATCATCTCTGTTTTACGTGCTGTTCTTATTTTTATTTTCTATCCTTTATCTCTGCATATTTCATTTTGGATATTCTGCTCTGATCTGTCTTTGAATTTACTGATTTTCCCAAATGTGAGGTCTAATTTACTATTAAAACCACCCATTAGCACTCATAAATATTTTATTCTAGTTTTAAATTTTTAATTTGGTTCATTTTTGTATTTTCCATGTGTCTGCAGAATATACCAGCCCTAACGTATTTAAATATACTAATCCACAGTTCTTTTATTCATTGATGGATAACTCCACTGATGAAGCCCATGAATCTGATTCTACTGTCTCTTTTCTCCTGTGGTTTTGGCCACCTTGTCATAAATCTCTGCATAAAGTTTTAGATGAGTCTTACAAACTGTTCATAAAAAAAATCATCTATTTGAAACCTAGTTAGCTATAATCTCTTGGAGAATATTTACAGTTGCTTTTAGCAGGGTCCTAAGAGATTAATAAAATCACATCAACCTAATCCAATTTCAGAACTGAAATGATTTAAGGTTGGACTTTAATTCTCCCATTTCATCCTTGCTTATATGGTATAGTCCTTTAAATTATGAACTCCCAAACAGAGTTTTACTGTGCCTTTTCTTTGGCAGGCCGTGGAATTCAAGAATATGACTCCTGTCTCTGGAAGCCCCTCAAAATCTCAAATCTTTACATCTCTGCCAAAAGTGCCAAGTATGACAGGGAAAAGAACACTGAATCTCTGAAGTTTTAGTTCCATGAAACTTTAGCTTTATTGCCTATCTGATGCCTTCTTTTTCATTTCTTTCTTTTGTAGTATTTTGTTGCCCTTTCCTAGTAGCCCATATTTAAACTACTGACCCAAATTGCAAATTCACTGTAATTGAGCAAAAAAGGAGAAATGCCTGCAAACACATACTGGGCCAAAAAGCAACCAATCTTCAAATTCCTAAGTAATATTAAAAATTCAATCAATTTTTTAACACAAAATGAGACCCCCCCCATACGAAACAAATTAAATTTTATATACTTAAAAAACAATTTTCACTAACTGTTCATTTACTTTCTAATGAATATTTAATTAAATATGTGTGCTTCTAAAGCTTCAATATGCAATGGCTTAGAAAGGATTTGTGGTCTGATGGGGGAAACTCTGTTACTGTGAACCAGTACAATAAAGTGCTGTAGAAAAAAATCATACAAGTATACACTAAGTACAGTGGTACTCTAACAAAAACAACGGTACCTTTGTGGTAACAACAAACCATGAGACAATTGGTAGAAGATGTACATCATGAGTTAGTGATCACCAAAAGGAAGAAAAGACAGTACGGAGTATTTCTGGCAGTAGGGGCAAACAGGAGAGAAAACTGTAGGTGATGGAACAGCACATGCAGAATTAGTACTTGGTGTAATTCAAAATAAAAACAGGAAGGGAAGGGAGAACATCTATGCACACACAAGATGTGTCTCTGGATGTGGGTGTCAGTGTAGTGGAATGGCTGTGACAGTACTCAGCTGTAAAAAAGAAAACCAACCTCAGCCAATAATGTGTGGGTGGCCATGTATAACATAATAAAATATATGCTAAAAATTGTAATTAACACTAAATAATTTTAACTATATTCACTAAAATCAGAAAAGCAAGTGTATCTGTCATCACAAAAAAATTGTAAGGTCGGCCTTAAAACAGAATTCACAGATGAAATTACTAGAAGAGACAAAATTTATTATTTACAGATCTAGGTCTGCAAAAGAATAAATATCTGGGGGCATATTACCCCAAAGTTGATGGTGTTAGGAGTTGGAGCCTCAGGCCAAGATGGTAGAGCCCTCATGAAAGGGATTAGTGTCCCTACAAAAGAAACCCTGCAGAACTTCTTTGCACTTTCCACTATGTGAGAAGCATCCTTCACAAACTAGAAAGAAGGCTCTCACTGCACACTGAATCTGCCAGCACCTTGGTCATAGAATTCCCAGCCCCTGAAACTGTAAGAAGAGCATGTGTATTGTTTGCAAGCTACCTAGTTCATGATATTTTGTTATAGTAACCTGAAAGGACTGAAAAATTTCATTTATACAGCTAAAAAAAAAAAAAAAAACCCAAAAAACAAAGGCTTAGATATAAACTTAGGAAAGGATGCGAAAAGACTTGTACCATAAAAAGTACAAAATGCTAGTAAAAAAATAAAGGCAGCATAAATAAATGGAGAGACATTCTATGTTCGTGGGACTAAAAGATTTAATATTGTTAAGGTGTCAACGCTACCCAAAGTGATCAACAGAGCCAATACAATTCCTATCAAAATCCAAATACTATTTCTGCAGAAATAGTAAAAAGCAATCCTAAAATTCATACAGAATCACAAAGGATCCTCAATTGTCAAAAAAAATCTTGAGATGAGCAAAGCTGAAGGCAACATACTCCCTGACTTAAAAACACATTTTAAAGCTACAATAAGCAAAACAACATAGTACTGTATAATGACACAGGCCGATGGAACAGAATACAGAGGTGAGAAATAAAATTATGCACGTGTGATCAAATGATCTACCACAAGAGTGCCGCAACTGTACAATGCAGAAAAGACAGTGTCTTTAACGAGTGGTGCTGGGAAAACTGGGAATAGACATGCCAAAGAATGAACTTTGCACCTTATTTTAGATCACACATAAAAAGATTTAAATATTAGACCTGGAACTATGAAACTCCTAGAAGTAAAACAGAAGAACTAATGACATTGGTTTTAGCAACTATTTCTTGATTATGACATAAAAAATACAGTCAACAAAAGCAAATACAGACAAGTCAACCAAACAACTTCTGTGTAGCAAGGGAAACACAGAACAAGGAAAGAAAATGTAAGGAATAAGAGAAGATTATTTGAAAAAATTATGTGTGCATATGTGTGTGTGTGTGTGTGTGTGTGTACGTACATACCTTAAATATATAAGGAACTTCTAAAACGCAATAGCAAAAAAAAAATGTTTTTAAATAGATACAAGACTTAAATAGATGTTTCTCAAAAGAAGACATACAATGACCCACAGGTATGTGTAAAAATGTTCAGCAGTACTATTATCAGGAAATGCCACGTCAAAAACCACACTGAGGGCCGGGGATTTAGCTCAGTGGTTCGGTGGCCTGCCTTGCAAGAGCAAGGACCCGAGTTCAATCCCCGGTACCAAAAAAAAAAAAAACCAAGAAAACACACTGAGACACACTAAGACAGACATTATAAAATGAAATAAAATTAAAAATAACAAGTGTTAGTGGGGATGTGAAGAAACAGAAATGCTGTGTAACACTAGTGAGAAGGCAAAATGCTACAGTTGCTATTGAAATTAGTATGAAGGTTGTTCAAATAATTAAAAATAAAACTACCATATGAACCGGCTATCTCACTCTGGGTATTTAGCAAAAAAAAAAAAATTGAAATGGATTTTTCAGACATTTGCTTTTCCATGTTCAGTGCAGAACTATTAAAAATAGTCAAGAGATGAAAACAAAGTGTGTAGTAACTGATGAATGGACAAGGAACACATGACATTCACATACAATGCAACATTCTCCAGCCTTAACCAAAGAAATCCTATCACTTGAGACAACATGGAGGGAACTGAATATCATCATTACGTTAATGAAGGAAGCCAGGAACGAGAACCACATGATTCTACACGTGGAATCTGAACGAGGTGACAGTGGAGCGGTGATGAGCAGAAGCCAGCGACAGCAGGGAGGAGGCAGGGATAGGAAAAGGCTGATAACCAGGTTCTGGGTTATACTTCGAAAAAAAGTCAGACGCTCTCGTGTGCTAGAATACAGCAGGGTGACCACAGGCAAGAATCATGCATTGTACATTTTTGAAAGGTACAAGAAAGGATTTTGAAAGTTTTACCTTAAGGAGATGATAAGTGCTTGAGGAACTATGGATGTTTAACCTCATTTAAGAATTACACAATTTACACATGCACTGAAATATGACACGTTTATCCCAGTAGTGTATGTGATTTTTACATTTTAACTTATCAGTTAAATTTAATTTAAAAAGGAAAATGCAATAGAATAGCTAAGAACGATCTGATATAAAATACAGGAAGTGGTGCTAAGTTTTACAAAGCTTCTCTAATTAAAGCCATGTGGTATTTGTGCTAGAATGACAGAGCAAGGCAAAAAATTAAAACCTAAAAGCCCGAGTATTTATATATACAGCCTATAATTTGTGAGAAAAGAATGGACTGTTGAGTAAGAGCTGAGACAACAGGCTCGCTAGTTAGAAAAAGTAGCCCAATCTTATGCACTGAAATAAATGGAAGATAAAGCTGTACACTTAGTTAAAAGCATGGAAGGATTTTAGATTAGGAGCAACACTGAAAATGGAGACTTTCTGTAACTCTCACTTAGGCCTCCTTACGTCTTTGCTGACATTAAAGTTATATAAAGTCTCCAAACACCAGATTCTAGATGAATATAGAATACACTCCAGTGACAAAAATAAATATGCTGTTTTTCATTTTTGCTAAAATTGCATCTTCTATTTTCTTCTAGTCATAAATACAAATGAAAACTGATTGTTCAGAAGTAGTGTGGTATTATTATAGAAATAGCAAAGGATAAAATCTGGCAGAAATCCAGCTTTGTAAACACAAATGGCAAAATGAGTCATGCTTCAATGAGATGCCATAAATCCACTAAAAGAATGCTATTTTCAAAGAACATATATCGACACGAGAAAGCTCCATTCATTCACTCAACAAATACAGTACTGGGCTCTGGACCACATGTGAAGACAAAAAACAAACACATACCCACAGCAAGGAAGACATGATCCTTGCTACCAAGAAGTTTACTGTCTATCGCTTCTCAGTCTTTTGGCTGAGATCAAGTAAGAAGTTTACAGTCTAGAGAGAAAGTTTTACAGTCACTTGGTATGAAAGGCATAAGATTTGTTAAGAATATAGCTAGAGGATCTACTTACACTACATTAGTCAAAGAAAGTTCTGTAGAAGAAGTGCTATTTAAGCTCCTATGCGAAAGATACTAGAACTCAGCCCAACTATGGTTATGGGGGAAGAGAGGAGCAGACTGAAGACTCAGTCTATGAAAAGGCCCATGAGTGATGATGCAGAACTGTAACGAGACTCGAGCAGGAGCGTGGAGGAGGACACACAAAACTGTATGTACACTAAAGACACAGACCCATCAGCGAAGGATAAGGCTGGAAGTTCACACAAGAAAGTATCACTTTCAACCTTTGGTTAGAGTAACTGCAGATAACAGTTTACTGATCAAAAAGCTTTATTGAAGTAATAGTTTAGGGCTGGAATTATCAGTAGTAGAGCACAACTTCCATCACCACAACACAAAGCAAAGAAGAAAAAACAAACAAACAAAAACTAAGCCAGGATTTCTTTATATTCTACCGATATAGCTGGTAAGCCATGTACTAATTAGTATTGCTGCTCTTGTCTGCAGTGATGGCAGTCAATGCCCAGCAATCCTATTTCCTTTCCCCACAGAGCTGACACCAAATCTCAGAACACTTTTCAACATAACATTTCTAGCAGCCACTTGCAATTGTAAGGGCAAACCCGTTGAAACCTTTGCTATTACTTTTGTCTCAGAATTTAAAAAATGAATACAAGCAATCCTATAATTTTTTAAAAATGTAGTCTGATTGTAAAATTGTCTTTTTATTTATTTATTTTTTTTGGTACCGGGGATTGAACTCTGGTCCTTGTGCTTGCAAGGCAGGAGGCAGAACCACTGAGCTAAATCCCCAGCCCATAAAATTGTCTTTTTAAATTTGTGTTTAAATCTGTAAACATTTTGTTTGCTCATACCAGAAACTATTAAGAAATATAGCATTTTGCAAATATATTTCCGTATATGTATTGATAATAAAGTTAGTTACAAATACATCTTTAGATTGATTTTTGCTTTTTTCATAAAATGGAAAAAAAAGTCTCTTACCTTTCCTCTGGAGTATCTACATGAAATGTTCTTTCTATAACAGTGGTCCACTGGAGACATCTGATAATAAATGTGTTTGGCTTTGGTCGTTCTGTTTTCATTAACTGGCATTCTAGAAATAAAATATCTCTTTAAATATACATATTTTGAAATCACGAAGTAAATAGTTTAGAACTATAGAATTCCATTCCAAACAAAACAAAGCAACCACCTCACAGCTTTCTATGGATCTCCACTCACATTATCCACAAACTGACCTACTATTCTTTTCCAATTCACTGTCATCCTGGCTAGTTCAACTTAACTGGACCATGTAGTTTTCCTGAATTTATCTTACTCTTTCCTCTATGTATGCCTTAGTTCCAGCTGTTTCTGCTATCTTTAATGTCTTCTATTTATTTCATTCCATTTATATGCAATCTCCAACAGTCCAAATTAAGACCCATCCTTTAAGGTCCACAATGAATTCTAATCCTTCCATGAAGCTTTTTATACTACCTGGTCCCAGACTAGCCACTCCCACCCTCATTTTTCATTACTTATTAAATGTGTCCCTGGTTTGTTTTGTTTTTTAAACTCAGCACCAGTCTTGCAATGTTGTGTACCATTCTAAGACGTTATCCTTTATCCCTACCTACATTATAAAGCCCTTTTATATAAAAGATTGCCTTTAACTCTTAGTATACACAACCATTAGAGGTGGTCAGTCAAAAGGGATTAAATTTTGTCAAGCAACATGTACAAATATTTGAAAGAAAAATTGTGCAGCAGTTCAAAGTATGGATTCTGATATCAAGGTACCTGGATTTTTGTTTTTCTAACATTAATTATACAAACTTATGAAAGTAATCTCTGGTCTTCAACAGCTAAATGGGAAACTAATAGTACCTACGTCAGAACTGGCATAAAGATTAATAAATCCATCTAATAGCAAAATATATAACATAACAAGCATTCATGAGCACTAGCTATTATTATAGCATGTACGTAAAGGAGAGGGGTGTAGATACCAAGAAAGAGTTGGGCTGTCTATTGACACTGTGCTTTGGAAATAAACTAATTTTACTCGTAGATGGCACATTCATCAGTGCTTATCTGCTTTGCCTGTTCATCAATACTAACAAATACAAAGGACCCTTGACTTACAAACTCAATTGGTTCCCAAAGGCTGGTTGTAACTCAAATCGGTTAATACAGGTGAGATCTGGATGTTTACCTGGGTACATACTACAGCTAACAAGAGGAAGATGAATCTTCCATTAGCCTAATCAACCCAAGTTGTTCACACATCAGGCCAGTCATAACTTGAGAATCAATTGTATCCACTACCATTTCTACGTCATTAAGGCCCACATCATTATTCACATCAGATTAATTCTTTGACTCCTTACATTGAAAGAGATCATTCACCTAAGGTTCTTTTCTTAATTTTTTCATGCTTTTATCCATCATCCTTCAATTAATCAACATCAAAATCCAAGCTTCATCCTATCCTGAGTCTTAATTTTCAGACATACATGTCAGGGGTTAGGGAGGTAGTTCAGTGACAGAGCACATACTTAGGACGTGCAAGGGCCTAAGTACAATCTCCAGCATTTAACGAAAAAGCAAGACACGGGTCTAAATATACAGTAGGCATTTCTATATTGTTGAATTACTAAAACCAACTCAGTATCCCTTAAATCCATTCCTCCTCCTGGCAGAGTGATCTTCCTTTTTCACAATAGTAAGACTTTGCTTTATTTGGTTTTCCCACTGAGACAATCCTACTTCAAATTTTCAGTGTTTAATGGCTAATTGTTCCCAGCTGTCCCATCAGAATCTTCCTACTCAGAGATGCTGACAGGCTGCCCAAGTTACTTAAAGATAGAAACTGTATTCTAGGAGGCATCTGGACATATCCCAAAATGAACTCCTGATCTCTCCCACCCATGCTCCCTCTGCCAACTGCTACCATAGCTTTCTCCATTTCATATGATGACACCATCTTTTCAACTGCTCAAGCTAAAAACCTTAGAGTTATGCTGCAGGCCTCTCTTACATTTCACCCACTCCTTCTAGATATCCTGTTGGATCTACTTTCAAAGCATTTCCAGTTTCTGATTACTAACTCAGTCTAAGCTGTCATCATTTCCCAAAGCCTCAGAAGAGCTCTCTCCTGGCACTGTAATTCGTTCTCAACACAATAGCTGGAGATCTTCTTAAAATGAACATTTTCAAAAAAACTTTGCAACATTTCAGTTCACTAAGAACAATGAAAGCCTCAAAACGATCAGGGATCCTCCTAACCCACAGTGTCTGCCTTCTTTCCCTAGCACTCTCTCGTCTCTGCATTCCACAATGCACTTCACCCCTTTGCTTAGGGCCTTTGTCAAGTTTGCCCTCTGCCTGGCATCCTTTTCCTTGCCCTCATATATCACCATAGGTATCTTCCTCCTTTCCTTCAAGTTTTCGATCAAATGTAATCTTCATAATGAAGCCTACCTTGGCCACTCTTTTTAATGCTACAATCCACATCTAGGATCATAAAATTTCTTTCATGGGTTCTACTACTGATTTCCCGTAGCATGTTATCATCTGTTAAGTGTGTATTTCCTCAACTAGAATGTAAGGTCACTGGCGTATTCTCAGTGCCTGACATCAGCAGCAGTAGTTTCCAGATGATGAATTCTGAGAGTAAAACTTCAAGGTAATTCTGATGCCATGTGAAAGGAGAAAATATCTTTCCTATGTAGACAAAAAGAGACAAGGTTTACTGGATGAGTAAACATTGGCTCTGGGTTATTCAGTTTAGTGACTGAGTAGGAGAGAAGACAGGGTAAAATTAGGGCACAGATACAGCTGGGTATCAATGCAAGTGGAAAGTGGTAGAAATTAGTTTTTCATTGTTTCTATTTTTTTCCAATTAATTAGGATGTGAAGTCATCAGTTTAAAACACAGTTGAAAAAGTATGCATTGGAACTTTGAAAATAAAGAAGATACCAAATACAGCTGTAAGAAAATAAAACAATACACAGATAAAGTAAATATATCCTGACTGCTAGTACTGAGGGCACACTTGAATTTAAGGGCCAAAAATTAAAGTAATACCAGAGAGCATGTCTGTGTATTCCTCCCCAGGTATACATGGTTGTGTGGGTGCAGCTGAGGAACACAGGGAATACGATTTCAGCCAGGCTGCATTTTAAGCAATTTAGGTTTGTCAGAGCAAAAAGGTAGAGAAGAGGAGAGGATGCAAGGAAAGACAGGGATTCAAATAATCAACTAAGAAACTTGAGATGTCTTTGGAGCAGATGTGATACAGAAAATGTGATATTTATATACAATGGAATACTACTCTGTCTTAAAGAAGGATATTTGTAGGAAAATAGATAAATCTTGAGACCATATTGTTAAATGAAATAAATCAGACACACAAGCTTAAATATCAACTCGTTTCTCATATATGAGAAACCCAGAATATAATCAAAAAGCAAAATAAAAGCTAGATAATAGAATCTTTTGCAAATGAGAAGGTAACCAGGAGCGGGAGGGGAAGAGAATTTTAAAAATTAAGATTTGTTAGATGCACGTACCAACTCCTCATGAGGAATGTAATTGTTATGTACTAGAAATGTGCAGTAATTAAAAAATGTGTTTGGAGGGAAGGGATAATCTGGTGGCATGTAAAAGGTACTGACAGATCATAAAGATCAATTATATCATAGTTTTAAGCCTTGTACAACACATTTTTTAAATTTTAAAATTTAACAACTGCTTAGTATGCCAATTTACACTACTTGAAACATTAAAGTATTAAAATACCAAAGACATCATACCAATTTACACCAATACAGGGTCCAATTTTCTGTCTTATTGTGCCTAGCAGTCTTATCTTACTCTTTCTGATTTTCCTCCTTGCAAAACTTCAACTAAAGTTCTAGGCAGTAGTTTACTACTGGTGTCTTGGTAGAGAGCAATTCTGGTGGCAGATGTGCTCGGTGATCACTAAGTGTAAGGCACTGTGTCCACTGAATGTCTCCTAAATGTTACTTATTTAATCTAACAAAAAACCTAAAGAGTATTATTAATGCCATGACCCTCCATTTTATAAATGAACAAATTTACAAGACTCCAGCCAAATAACTGGACCCAAATACATAGCTTGTGAAAAACTGTGTAAGGATTTATTCCAGGGCTATCTGAACCCAAATCACATGCTCTTCTGAAAAGAATAAATGCTAGAAAAACTGCTCTTAGAGGTCAGTGATCATCTGTCAAAGCAATGGGACGGTCAAGTCCCTCCTCTAACTCGTCCCCCACCCTCTCTGCGATTAGACCTGCTGCCACTGATGAAAGCTTTTCTTCTAAAAGGAAGTCCAGGACAATGTCCACCTGATGACAGTGTTTGAGAGTTGTGAGAACCCCAATGTGTTGCTCCTGGCTCTGATCCTGCACAGGGATGCACTGGAATAAGGACTGTCCCCCAGCAGGATTCCAATCTGTAACATTTTCTGTCTGTCTAGGTGGGAGTATAGGGGGAGGTTTTTCAGAATTAGCTGACAGAAAAGAAGGCATTAGACTCTTTGAGCTCTTTCACTACAAAGTCACACACCCTGCAACTTGCACGAATTCAGTTCCACGTTTCTAGTTATTTTTGTCTAAACCAATATATTACTCAGAGATAACATAACTTTTCTTTTTGTAACAGGGATCAAACTCAGGATCTTGTGCTTGCAAGGAGGGTAGCAGAACCAATGAGCTAAATCCCTGGGAATAGGAGAGAAAACAAGCTCTTACATTTCATTTCATAACATAAGGGATTCAATAAATGAGAATTGTTAAGATTGATTTATTAACATTATTTCTTCTCAATAAGATGTTTTTCACTTTGTGACCAATGTTCAAAAATCTGATATTTTAATTATCATAAACCTTACTACTTTGTTATTTGCATGGAATACTATATGTGAGCTTAAACTGAATTTGAAATGATGACACGTTAATGTGAACTTCTAACATATTTTAGTGAATACAGTCATTACAGATAACTGTTTGCCAAAAGCACATTTTTCAGAGCCAGTGTTTTCCACACTAACATTTTTCTTTTGTCTACCCACCAAATCCTGCCT